AATATTATTTGCGCGCTTTAATTAAAGTTTAATCAGGAACATTCTCCGGAACGTTTTTTTTTTCTTTCTCACACATTTTCTTGCATTACTCGAGACCTAGTAATGACCCTCGTATTGTAGATAGTCTTAATGACCCTCGTGTAGTAGTCTTTTTAGTATTATAATAAGATGTTATCTTCATTGTAGAATAATAAGAAAATATTATAACCTTTATATTATAATAAGATAAAAGGACCCCAATGGAAATAAGTCACTCTGTCTGACTTTTTTGGGTTATCCTAGGTTCTCTACACATATGCTGCTATGTATGATAATTCTATGTAACTGTATTTGTGTATACCTGAATAAACTTACTTACTATCTTATTCAGTCCACTTCAAATTCTCAACGCAGATGTATTTTAGGCAAGATTTATGGGACTATTTTCATGCGGGTCTTAGGTAGACTGTTCCCAAACTTTTTTTTCCATATTAAAAATGGTGAGAGACTTGTCTGCTCTGCTTCAAAGTTTCAACACCGGTGTATCCTACTAAGAAGGTTAAAAATGTCTAGGCGAGTACAGTTAGGAAGCGCGTCTGTTTGGCGCTCAGTAGACGGAGGATCGAACCTCCACTAAGTCTTGCGCTGAATGACCCAGATGGGTTCAGCGCTATAATTTAATTAAAAAAAAATAAGAAGGTTAATATATATAATGGTGTAGATCAATAACAATACTGCACTAGCCAAGGACTCGAACCTATGTTGTACTGGCCCGCCTCATGGTGAGCTAGAACCACATCATGCCTTAACCCACAGGACCACCCAGTCCTACTGTTGTGTTGTTATTGATCAGTGTTACTCGTTCATGGTTACAGTAATATATAATGTTGTGTCTTGATGCCATTTTACCACATTTAATCTCGAAATGCTGAAATATTTTACAGTATTGCACTTGATGCTGGTGAGGGATTCTTGAACCAAGGAACTGGATTCATTTTCCCATTCTTCAGGCGCTATATAACCAATACTGCTTTAACGCTTTCTCCACATTAAAATATAACACTTGTGAATGGCATCAGTCTTCAATGTCTGATGCATCATAATATATAATATATATATATATATATATATATATTATATATATATATATATATATATATATATATATATATATAACACACACACACACACACACACACACACACACACACACACATTGCATGTCGTGCCGGAGAAGTAAAATTGGTCAGTTAGCGAGAACTCATTTAAAATTAAGTCCTTTCTAAAATTTTCTCTTATAATTTTCTTCCAAAAGAACTTTAGAAAACTTACCTAACCTTATTATAACAAGCGCAATTTAATTTAGCCTAATCCAACTAAATATATTTTAGATAATTTTGCAATACGTATATGTATTGCAAATTTATCTAAGCAACGCTCTTCTTGCCGAATAAGGCAAGCGAAAATTTGTGTATGAAATTAGAAAGTAATTGTTTCTTTAACACAGTTAAGGTACGAACAGATGTCTTTTTCGAGGGGCCAGACCGAGGTTTGGCAGACGGTAACTCGACACCGCCACCAGCCTTGAAACACTGCACCCAGTTCTTCATTGAACACTCACTCACACTAACATTCTATACTATTTCTTTCGTCTGGTGCCCAGCTTTGTGAAGCCCTATGATTTGAACTATAGTTTCAGGTGTTAAAGACTCCCTTTTACCCATAATCAAACATGTGTAGCCCCAAAACCAAAGGGAACACCGGACAAAAGATGGGTCAGATGAGAGAGAACAGTGCAACACTTCCTCTCGCCACAGCAGCCACGTGAGCAAGTTATTGTTAAGTGTGGCGGCAGACCGAGACGTTATGCTTACATTTGCTACCCGGCAGAATGCACTGACTAAAAAAGACCCCCTGTATGGTAGGCCATTGACTTTGTCAATGGTCCAAGTCGGACCGAAACGTCGTCGTAAGCTTCTCTCTTTTATGTGCGGGTTATTTGTGTATCGTTCCAGTCACGGTATTGTGCCTTTTTGTTATTTATAATTGAATCTTATTTCATATAAAGCAGTTTTGAAAATAATATGAATATTTCCTTAGGTTTATATAAATTAGACTCATTTATAATTAATAAAATTTGGTTAGAGTTTAATAATACATTGGACAAATAATAAACCTTATTTCTTGGGTACAATATTTTGTTAGTGGGATGTCGTGAGGACTTGTCTAGTTGGACCAGCTGACCTACTGCAGTGTTCCTCTTTTCTTATGAGTCCGGTATTGTCGCGCGTCAGGTGTTTCTTTGTTGTGGGGGTTGACTGTGAGGTGTAGTCTAAGCCCTTTAATTGCCTTCCTTTGATGTATTACTTTCATAGTTCCTTGACAATGTGAGTAGTCACGAAAGCGCTTGGAATTTCACTACTCTTTCATAGTGGTTGTTTTGCATATATAATATAATTATATATATATATATATATATATATATATATATGTCGTGCCGAATATGTAAAACTGGTCAATTAACAAGAACTCATTTAAAATTAAGTCCTTTCTAAAATTTTCTCTTATACGTTTAAAGATATATTTTTTTCAGTAATGTTGATGTAAACATTTATAATTTTGCACCAAAAGGAACTTAGAAAACTTACCTAACCTTATTATAACAAGAGCAATTTATTTTAGCCTAACCCAACTAAATATATTTTAGATTTGTTTATAATAATTTAATACTAAACAAACACAGTGAACTATATTTTTTTCGTTAGGTTCAAAATGATTTTGACGAAATTATTGCATACACAAATTTTCACTTGTCCTATATGGCAAGATGAACGTTGCTATTTAAGCCAAGATCGCAAGTTCTGCCTATTCGGCACGACATATTAACTTAGAAACCTCGCTTAACCTCACTTTAAACTAGCGTAATTTTTTTTAGCTGTCTTGTGCTATGTATAGCATAGGTCACTTTAAATTTATTTAATATTTCTTGAAATTAATGATACATATTTTCGTTATACTCAGATTAAATTTGGGAGATTTATGGCCGATAAAAAATTTCATTCGGGTTATTTTACAGAAATCGGACTTGCTAAATAGACCAAATCATCTGTTCAGCTTATATAGTACGACATACATTGATGAATCGGAAAAAAAATATGAGTTTGTGGACAATAATGCCAAAATTCTTGCTGGAATCTGATGGGAATGTTTACCCCGTTATTATATTTATTGCTAAGATTTGTGTCTTTAATATGGTGTGTGTTGGTAATTAAGTGTTTAAGCAGTGTGGCTCAGAAGATTCCAAGAGAGTTACAGATATGTCACTGTCATACAGTCTGTCATAAATTACAATTAGTTAAAAAGGTCTTTATAAGTGTCAGAATGCAACGGTTTGAAGGCTAAAACGAGGCTCACACATGTTTCTTTGAAGGCTAAAACGAGGCTCACACATGTTTCTTTGAAGGCTAAAACGAGGCTCACACATATTTGCTTATTAAACAGTTCCTCTGATTTTTTTCCCCCAGAGAGTGGGTCGGCCTATTACTATGATTCACGTTTAATTTTTTAGGGAAGTATTTATTACATTGTTATCTTTGTGTGCCATGATAAAAGCAAAGTCATAATTTTTATTATATTATACTTATTCCTTATCTTTGAATTTAACGTTCATTTTTAGTTAGGATGACTAACTGATGGGATAACTTTTTCTCTTTTGTGAGTCGATCATTAATCCGATCACGAAGTTTGTCTAATATAATATGCATCTAAATTTTGGCCAGCAATTTTCAATAGGAAAATTTATTGATTTTTTTTTGTGCGTATACTGAGATGTGCTACATTTAATAGATTTATTTTTAATTCTAATTATTCTACTGCATGATCTTTAGCTGACTTCCGGTCATTACATTATTTTCCCAGGAAATTTACTCTCTTGTGACTAGTAACAGGCTTTATCTGTTTAACTAAAATTGATGAGAAGTTGATGGGACGACAGTTGAGGGCACCACTTGTCTTTCCATTTTGAAATAGTGGGATAACTTTACTGTTAATTTGGTAAGGTGCCTTCGTCTAATGATCTGTTAAATATTACGTTCAGTGGATAAATAGTTTGGTATTTGTATTATGTAATTTACCAGGCAGCTTATTTCACCTGATCTGTGAATTAAAAAGTGAAAGCTCTCAGATTGGTGCTCTAAGGAGGAGAGAGAGAGAGAGAGAGAGAGAGAGAGAGAGAGAGAGAGAGAACCACGTAGCAAATCTTGCAAGCATGGCGGGCAAGAAGCTAAAAGTACTAAGCTGTATTTCGCATCCGCTCGAAATAGAGGCTGACTCTATACGAGGCACAAGTATACTCGCACACATTGAGTATGCTTCACGTTCTTGAACTGCCGGCCCCTCCGGCTCATCAACCACTTCTTGATAGAACAGAGAACAAAGCAAGACTACCCATGTCTCTCGTGGGTAGATCTGTCATTTCACGAGAGCCTTCAACACCGAAGAGATGTGGGTGATCTTACTTTTTGCACAAGACCAATGTTGTCAAAGTACTAGACTTCATCAGAAATCATTCATTCCAAGAATGAGTCGAAAATGGAACATACTCGTACAGCATAACGACATCGATGAAAAATAAAATCGCTGGCCCACAGATGGCTCCAACTTCATCCTGTGCCCTATTTGTATATTTCATAAAAAAAGGCTTTCAAATGAGCTGACGTTGGTAAGAGCTTGTAAACTAAGAGAGAGGGAGGGAGAGAGAGCGAGAGAATGAAAAGGAAATGTGAATGGTGTTCAACGTTCAGCTAATGAAAGGAGGTTGTGTCTGTTAGCTCGTGCTTTAGAGAGCAACATGAAGTTACTTACCTTAACATAAATATAAGATGAACTGCAAAAAAATAATCACTAGAAGGTAGAAAAAATTACTAAATAGCAATGAACTTGAAGCTGAACACAGTACAACATATAATAACATACAGGCAACAGTCACTATGGGAAACACCTCTTTTCTCAGCAGCCCTTACCTCGTGGTACCAGTTGATAGAGGTGGCTGGAGGGTTAGCATCAACAGAACAAGTAAAATATACATCGTCTCCTTCCTTCAGCATCCCTGGCTGAAGTGAGCGGCCCAGGGAGGCGTGTACCGAGGGAGGATCTAGAAGGAGAGGAAAACATTCTGAACGGGAGTTTCGTCCGGACGGTAGGTTATAAGTATTGCTGGGTTAATTTAAATAAAAGAACTGGTGATAATCCTGTGTGTAACTTTGTCGAACAGACAAAATGAGAAAATAAATTCAATGTGATATAAAATTATACATCAAGTGTGTGCAAAATGGACGATGAACATTGAAATATGCAATGTTTGCTCACCCAGTATGATTTACAATATCTTGAAACAAGTAATAATGGTAGAATTACCGTCAAAATGTAAATGCATATAGATGCAACTTATGTGACATTATATTTTGTCAACATTGCGCTTTCCAGGAGCTTTGACAAGCTGTAACGTAATGTCTCCAAATTCGTCCTATTTTCTGCTTGTAAGTCACATAACAATTAAAAGGCTTTCAAATGGGCTCATAGCTTGCAAATAAAGGTAGGAATTCTTAACACTGTCAAACCCTGTGTAAAATTTTGTCATACACTATGAAAGTGTGAGGTAGACACACCCACCAGGCAGGTGTGAGGTAGACACACCCACCAGGCAGGTGTGAGGTATGTGCACTCACCAGGCAGGTGTGAGGTATGTGCACTCACCAGGCAGGTGTGAGGTATGTGCACTCACCAGGCAGGTGTGAGGTAGACACACCCACCAGGCAGGTGTGAGGTAGACACACCCACCAGGCAGGTGTGAGGTAGACACACCCACCAGGCAGGTGTGAGGTAGACACACCCACCAGGCAGGTGTGAGGTAGACACACCCACCAGGCAGGTGTGAGGTAGACACACCCACCAGGCAGGTGTGAGGTAGACACACCCACCAGGCAGGTGTGAGGTAGACACACCCACCAGGCAGGTGTGAGATAGACACACCTACCAGGCAGGTGTTAGGTAGACACACCTATCAGGCAGGTGTGAGGTAGACGCACCCACCAGGCAGGTGTGAGGTAGATGCACCCACCAGGCAGGTGTGAGGCAAACACACCCACCAAGCAGGTGTGAGGCAGACACACCCACCAGGCAGAAGTGAGGTAGACACACCCACCAAGCAGGTGTCAGGCAGACACACCCACCAGGCAGAAGTGAGGTAGACACACCCACCAAGCAGGTGTCAGGCAGACACACTCACCAGGCAGGTGTAAGGTAGACACACCCACCAGGCAGGTGTGAGGTAGACACACCCACCAGGCAGGTGTGAGGTTAGACACACCACCAGGCAGGTGTGAGGGTATAGACACACCCACCAGGCAGGTGTGAGGTAGACACACCCACCAGGCAGGTGTGAGGTAGACACACACCCACCAGGCAGGTGTGAGGTAGACACACCCACCAGGCAGGTGTGAGGTAGACACACCCACCAGGCAGGTGTGAGGTAGACACACCCACCAGGCAGGTGTGAGGTAGACACACCCACCAGGCAGGTGTGAGGTAGACACACCCACCAGGCAGGTGTGAGGTAGACACACCCACCAGGCAGGTGTGAGGTAGACACACCCACCAGGCAGGTGTGAGGTAGACACACCCACCAGGCAGGTGGTGAGGTAGACACACCACCAGGCAGGTGTGAGGTAGACACACCCACCAGGCAGGTGTGAGGTATATACACCCACCCGGCAGGTGTGAATTAGACACACCCACCAGGCAGGTGTGAATTAGACACACCCACCAGGCAGGTGTGAGGTAGACACACCCACCAGGCAGGTGTGAGGTAGACGCACCCACCAGGCAGGTGTGAGGTAGATGCACTCACCAGGCAGGTGTGAGGCAAACACACCCACCAAGCAGGTGTGAGGTAGACACCCACCAGGCAGAAGTGAGGTACACACACCCACCAAGCAGGTGTCAGGCAGACACACCCACCAGGCAGGTGTGAGGTAGACACACCCACCAGGCAGGTGTGAGGCAGACACACCTACCAGGCAGATGTGAGGTAGACACACCCACCAGGCAGGTGGGAGGTAAACACACCCACCAAGCAGGTGTACGGTAGATACGCACACTAGGCAGGTGTGAGGTAGACACACCCAGGCAGGTGTGAGGCAGACACGCCCACCACGCAGGTGTGAGGCAGACACGCCCACCAGGCAGATGTAAGGTTGACACTCCCACTAGGCAGATGTGAGGTAGACACACCCACCAAGCAAGTGTGAGGTGTGTAGACTATGAAATTAAAGTAGCTAGAGAAGCGATGTCAAATCCAAAAGGGTTTTTTCAAATGTATACGTCAAAGATCAAGGAAAAAATAGGAGCACTAGGTCTGGAGTTCTTAGTGATAACGAACAGAACATATGTTCTATTTTTAATAATTATTTCCTGTCAGTTTTCACACAAGACATAAATGATATGCCAGTAATCAATAACTATTCAGTTCCTGAAGAAAACAAATTAAGTAACACTACATTCACATGGGATATAATTACCAAACAATTTGATAAATTAGAGGAAATCCAGTCCCTGGCCCCTACTTACTGGATTCAAGAGTACTTAAAGAATGCAAGTGGGAACTGAGCCGCTAACGAGCCTGTTAATGCATCTATCCAAACTGGTATTGTGCTGCAGATGTGGAAGTTGGTTAATGTAATTCCTATATTTAAAGAGTAATAGTAAACAGAGTAAAGTCCCAGTCAGCCATGGTAAAAACTGTTCCACAATGCACAGTAATCGCTCCCATTCTATTCCTCATCCTCATTTCCGACATAGAGATGTAAGCCATAGCTCCGTGTCTTCCTTTGCGGATGACACACGGATCACTATGGCAGTAACCTCCATCGAATACACTGCGAGACTCCAAGCGGACATCAACCAAATCTTCGAATGGGCCACTCAAAACAACATGAAGTTCAATGAGGAGAAATTTCAACTACTCAGATATGGGAAACTTGAAGAAATTAAATATGTGTCAGGGTATACAACAAATTTTAACCATACAATAGAATAGAAAAGTAATGTAAAGTACCTGGGAGTGATAATGTCAGAGGATCTCACCTTCAAACACCACAACAATGAATCTACCTCATCCGCTAGGAGAATGATCGGATGGATAATGAGAACCTTCAAAACTAGGGACGCCAAGCCCATGATGATTCTTTTCAAATCGCTTGTGTTCTCTAGGCTGGAATACTGCTGTACAATAACGGCCCCCTTCAAAGCTGGCGACATTGGAGACCTGGAGAGTGTACAAAGGACTTTCGCGGCCACACAAGTACGATAAGGCACCTAAACTACTGGGAACGATTGAAGGTCCTTGATCTGTATCCCCTCGAACGCAGGCGAGATAGATACATGATAATATACATTTGGAAGGTCCTGGAGGGATTGGTACCAAACCTGCACACGAAAATCACTCCCTACGAAAGCAGAAGACTCGGCAGGAGATGCAACATTCCCCTAATGAAAAGCAGAGGCGCCACAAGTACAATGAGAGAGAACACAATGTCTTTCAAGTTATGTCCTAGAATTTGTATTAATAAAGCCACTGGATGGCGAAACGTCTACAATAAAGATACCCAGATGTTGCACATGTGTCTTAATTTCATCTTGTCGGTATTATATACCTTTCTTGCACAGAGAACACAAGTGTCCGGAGCCAAAGACTGTTCATTTGCCTCCCAGCATACATCAGGGGGATTACCAATAGACCCCTGGCTGTCTTCAAGAAGGCACTGGACAAGCACCTAAAGTCAGTACCTGACCAACCTGGCTGTGGTTCGTGCGTCAGCTTGCGTGCGGCCAGCAGTAGAAGCCTGGTTGATCAGACCCTGATCCACCATGAGGCCTGGTCTCAGACCGGGCCGCGGGGGCGTTGACCCCCGAAACCCTCTCCAGGTAAACTCCAGGGGATAAGTTCATTCCATCAAATCACCGTCGAATAAGCCTAACGTATATAGTAGGCAAATTATTAAAATCAATTATAGCCGACATTATTAGCCGCCTTAATGAGCATATTTTAATTAATGAGTCTAAGCATAACTTCACAAGAGGTAGTTCCTCACAAATTTACTGACATTCTTTAGTAAAACATTTGAGACAGTGGACAACGATAAAGAATATGATGATGCTTATTTGGATTTCAATAAAGCTTTCGACAGAGTACCTCGTAAAAGATTATTCAGAAAAGTGGCAGCTCATGGCATAGGATGTAAAGTTGTAACATTGACCGAGGTGTGGATGACAATATGAAGCAATGACTTTGCATTAATTGGGTCAAATCTGAATGGGAACCAGTCACTAGTGGCGTTGCCACAAAGATCAGTTTGGTTCTCATTGTTGTTCATAATATACATTAATGACCTTTACGGAGGAATAACGAGTGGCATGAGTAAATTCGCCGATGACACAAAAATAAATAAATGGTCCTGGGCATCAAGAGGTTAGGTAAAGTAAGGTTTGTCAGGAAACAGAGTGAGTCTGTCAGCTGATGACCCTCTGGTGGAGGTTTTGAACATCTGACAGAGTGTACATGAATGGTATACAACACCGACAAGATGAAGATTATAGACATGTGCAACATCTGGGTGTCTTTACTGTAGACGTTTCGCCATCCAGTGGCTTTATCAATACAAACTCAAGGACATAAATGGAAGACAGTAGAACCATATACAAAAGATGAGGTAATTAGTCCCTCAGCCTTGGAGTTGGTGTGAAGAGCACCGCAGTAGTGAAGAATCTGGAGCACAGGCAAGGTTAGGTAAGATCTGTCAGGAAACAGGACAAGTGTTTCCTGACGTGGGTCTTAGTCAGCTGATGACCCGCCGTTGGAGGCTTTGGTCGCCTGACCAAGGCCTACCTTTGGCTTACCGGTCCACCCCTTTCAAAATTATGGTCATAACCAACTAGTATTTTCATAGGCAAGAAGGCTGGCGCTTACATACTGGCGCCAGATGGTAAGGGACGTATAACAGACGAAGACATTGTCACTGATAGGCGGGATTTCCCAGTGAAAGTAGGTCATACCCGAGGGACGGGTCAGTAGTAGTGAGGGTTGTAGAGATGTCC